TGGGTTTCAAAGACTGTAGAAAATGATTGGTGCAGCCAGTCTAGGCACTCACATTATTTTTGTTATTATAGGATAGCATTACTTTTTTTCCATTTCTGTAGGAATTTTATTGGTGTTACTTGTTTTTGTACCTCTGACGGCATGAAACGACAATTGCAATTTGTCTCATATTTTCCTGGCAATTCAGCTACATATTTGGTAGAACATCAGTTCATCCTACGTCAGAACTTCTTGAATTTCCAGAAAACAAGAAACAAGCGGGTACATCATAGGTTTATAATAATTTTAATTTTTAAAAGGATGTGAAATTGGGATTTGCGCAGAGGTGCTATACCCATTGTGGCATTTATTAATTGGTCAAGTACCATCACAGCTTCCTCACAGCAGTTTCCACTTAACCAGTGAATATCCTGAAATTGCTGTCCATATATAACCAGTTCCATCAATGAAAAGAAGGTGACAAACTCGAAGTTTGTAAAACATCTCAACTTTCATTCACTCACAAAATACCCAGCAATCAAGCTCGGAAATTCGCGAGAAAAAAAATGGTTCACTTTCACAAACACAGCCGGATTCACGAAATAAAACCCATTAGTTTAGCTTTTGCAAACAGCCCGAAAACGCTTCATCAATGCGGAATCACCAGCTCCAAAAATTAGCTACTGTATTTTGTCGAGTACTTATCTGTCCGACATTGGCACAAACTGTAATCGGAAGTACTCGCTCCTAGAAGTATTTCCTAGGCGATTGCAGAGAATTACGTACCGCCGTATCACATTTTTCGAAAAGAGCAAAAAATTACTCATCAAAATTCCTGCGTGTTCACAGGGCGGACGACAGAGAGAAAAAATTATCAGTTTCCGCGCTTTGCTTCGGAAAGCAGAACCCATCGTTCGCGAGAATAAAACCCAACACAAAATACTGCGGTATTATGTATGACCAGGATACCAGACACGAGCTCATCCTAACACTTTTTTAAGCTTTCCAAACACCGTACCTTTCGAAAGATGCCTCAATGATTTCCACCTTCTTCGAATCAAAATAATTTACGCGCCAAAAAATAAAAATAAAACCAGTGGACTTCAACCACAAGACTGGAACGCGTTTTACAAAGTTGAAGAACACTGGTCGCGACTTTCTCAAATTCCACACGTATGGTCCCTCTTTTTAAGCTCTTTCGTTTTTCCTCATGATGCCCCAAACCCAATCAAAAAGTGAAATGTTGTCGGGGGGAAAAACAAAACCCCTTGGCTGCTTCCCCTGCATCACCTTTCTTCCAAGTACTGTACGTGTACTGCTGCACGCAAGTGATGCGCGTATGGGATGCACACCTTATATGATGCAAAAACGTATTGCCTCCAGAAGGAATCGTGATGGAAGGGGGGATGATCCTGCAGCGATAGAGGAACACATGCAAGAAAGGTCGCAGCATCACCCTACACATCACTATACAGCTCCTCAAGTTGATTCGCGAATGCTTAATTTCCAATTTCCCCTCATCATCTTTTTCTTCTTCTCCTTCTCTTCGGGACACTCATCAGTCTCATCTGCTTATTCCATCCCTAAAAACCGGAAACAAAAAACTTTTCCCGCGCTCTCTCTACAAGACCCGCGCAGCATCATTGCACTCCATCAGCATGCATGCATGCTGCACACATGAACGACAGCTATGATTAAGAGACTGATGATGAGGATGTGAAACGATGAGCTTGTTTCAATCATCGAGAGGTAAAAGGAAGGAAGGAAGGAAGGAAAGAGCGAGGAACTATAATGAGAGAAGAGGGCGGGTGTGGGGGTGGGGGTGGTGGTGTTAGGGGACGCGGAGGGAATAAATGATTGGCCAACCAACCGACAGACGGATCGACAGCAGTTGTATGATGATGACAACAGAGTACAGCACAGGCGAGTTGAAAAAAAATAAAAATAAAAATTCCAGTTTACAGACGGGGGAATATCGGGGGATAGGAGATAGCATATCAAGAGTCCACCACCGTGGGCGGGGCATAGGAGAAGCCCTGGAAGACGTTGTCCGGGTCGCGGACGCTGGCGGAGATGCCGAGCGACGTGCCGACCGAGGCCGGGATCGGCTCCTTGGTGAACTCGGGGTCGATGTTGCTCAGGTCCATGGCGTTGGTGAGGTCGGGCCGGAACGGAGGTGCCACGCGGCGCTGCACCAGGGCCTCCCAGTCCACCGGCGCGAAGAACGGGTGGGCGCGGATGTCCTGCTCGTCCGCGGGCCCGGCCCCGAGGCGACGGTGCTGCTCCTTCTCCAGCAGGCCCTCCAGCAAGTCCCGCGCATTCATCGTCACCGCCTGTCGGAACCTGCATCACGCCGAACAACACATATGGGCCACATACAGTACATGTTGTATTAGTGAAATCTCTTGACAAAAAATATTTGAGTAAAACAACATATTGCTCAAGTCCTGACAAAAAGCCAGTTAAGTACGCAATAAAAAAAAATACTGTAAGAATATATTTATATATATATGCATGCATTTTTTTTAGGAAGCGTTTGATCCATTGTTCAGGTAGATATTTCCTGACTAAGGCAAGCATGGTCTAAAATTTCCAATCTCAAATGTGATGCGACTGGTTCTTGCAGCATATACTCGCTACAAGAACCAATGAATGAGAAAAAAAGTTTCCAAGCAATATCATCCTGCCAGAATAAAGAGACTTGTGCAACTGATGGAAGTCAGGATTGAAGCTAACCTATTCTTTCCACAATAAGATCACTCAGTTTTTGAGAGAATATAACAAAAATCGGAGAATGTGGGAAAAGCAAGATCTATATACTTGATTATAAGATAGTGAACGCACCTCAGGGACTTGTGCAAGATGCCCTCGTACATCTCGTTGGTGTCTCGGCTGTAGAAGGGCGGCAGGCCACAGAGCATCTCGAAGAGCACAGCACCCAGACACCACCAGTCCACGGCTCGGTCGTAGGGCTCCTTGCGCAGCACTTCCGGGGCCAGGTATTCCGGTGTTCCGCAAAAGGTGGACGTGGTTTCCCCGGGCTGCTCCAGACCTAAGGATGAGCATAGACGAGACGAGACGAGGCGTCAGCATCACTCACGACGAGCCAGAATAACATAACGACGAGTAAGGTGCTGGTTGAAATAACGCATATATGCATCAGTAATGTACTGTACTGTACTGCACTATTATAGATGCGTTATATTCATTCAGCAGCGGATCGATGGAGTACAGTACACTGCATTGTATATACAGGCTGCACGCTGCTCACCTTGCTTGCATAGCCCGAAATCGGTGAGGACAATGTGCCCGTCGGCATCCAGCAAAAGGTTTTCCGGTTTCAGGTCCCGGTACACGACTCCCTTCGAATGCAAATATCCCAGCGCGGTCGTGATTTCAGCTGCATAAAACCTGGCCCGCGCCTCCGTGAAAACCCGATCTCTGCGTACAAATGCACAGGATACAGTATATACACACTTTCATACAGCATCAACGATGATGCGTAGTTGCGTTTCCCCGTGTCTATATATTTTCCAGAGTGACCAACGGGGAATCAAAAAAATACCTCCAGCCAAATGAATTACCGCGATAAAATACTGTAAAATAAAATTCGTTGAAAAATGAAAAAAAGACAAGAATAAAAGAGCAGCCACTATAATTTCAACTTGAAATGATTATGCAGAATAGCATGGTGACTGCATGGACGTACAGTAGAAGGAAAAGCAGTAACCTACACTTTCAGCTTATATATAATGAGCTGCCTTCAAATATACATCGGAATTATATCCCAAATCAAAGAGAAAACTGTATCTTTAAAAATTGTCATTTTCCCAATTTTAGCTTTACAAAAAAAAAAATGATGTATACGTTGACTTGCTGAGATTCCTTCCTCAAGTCAAGTTCATTGCCTAAGGCAACATGGCGGCCGCGTGCGGGTTCTCTATGCAAACAATTCATCACTCAGGGAGGTCGTTCCACATTGAGAACCAACTGATGTATTCTGTACTGTATTGTTAAAAGAAGAATCGCCGGAACAATGCGGACTTTTCCACTCCTGTGAAGCAAATTAATTTACTGTACGTACTGCATGTCTCATATATATACAGTACAGTATCTTACTATGGATTCTTTTACCGTGCCTATATATGGAATCGGAGGACAGCACGTAAATTGCCTCAGCAAAAAGGACCCTCAGAAATGTACCTTTCTGTTTATAGATACAGTACTGTGCTTGTTTTGCTCTTTTCTTTAAAATAAAAGGAAAAGAAAGATTAAAAACAAAGCAATTCTGTATACTGCTGTAGGACAGGGCGTGCCGGGGAACTATTCCCTTGAATCGGCACCTCGCCCGTTATTCTGCAAATTTGTTTCCTTCATTGAAATCTTGCATAACCTTTCCATTATCAGCATATGCAGTACATCACGCAGAAATGAGGGAGTACATATTCGAATAAGCATGACGAGCATCGTCGTTCAGGTAGATTCAAAAGACTCATCGTGTATACCTCTGGAGATGGAAGAAGAGCTCGCCCCCGTTGACGTAGTCCAGCACAAAGTAGAGCTTCTCCTTGGTCTGGAAGGAGTAGTGGAGTCCGACGAGGAACGGGTGCTTGAGGTTCGTCACCAGCACGTTCCGCTCGGCCATCACGTGATGAGCCTCGCCCCGCTTGATGATGGACTTCTTGGCCAGGACCTTGACGGCGTAGATGGCGTGGTCGGCACTGCGCCGGGCCAGGAACACCTTGCCGTAGCTGCCCTTGCCAATGACCTGCATGCATGCACGCAGCACGAGAGGATTATTGACGATGAAAGACGAAGAAGGCTTTAATCATGATTATCAGCAACAACAAAGCTCGTCCGGCAAACAATCGCACAAACAGATGAAGAAGATATGGGATAGAGTAGTCGACATTTCCTCTCGAGCAACGCGGGAGAAATATATGCCTGGTTTCAATCTTTCTAATACTGTACATGTTATTGACTGCTGAATGACCGCAATATAAGCAAAGTACAGTACAATATTATTTGGTGGGATTCACGGTGGACGCCTGGATCTGCATATGGATTGAAAAACGACAAGTTTCGAAAGAAAAAACAAAAAAGGTTGCTTGCCATGCTGAACAATCAGCACCAAAAGACGATGAACACTATCATGGAGTTGAGCATGTATAGTGCTGGTGTTTCAGATTATTTCATGTTTGAAAATGGAATCGCACACCAAGCAACCTCCGACATCCATACAGTACAGTTTAAACCTCATGAATGCCCCCAAATTAATACACACTGTCCCTGGGTGAAACCAGCAAAGACGCGCCACAATGGACATTACAGTGGACCCTTGGTTAACCAACTTTGAATTTTTCATATTTTAATGGGAGAGAATTACATCAATTCTGCCTACCCGAAAGAAAATTGAATTTTTAAAATTCTTGACCTTCAAATCAGAATGAGCTGTTGTTGCATCTTATATGTGCCCGGAGTTTTTTTTTTTTTAGTGTAGTGTTTAAATCAGTGGCAGTGATGAATAACTTTGCTAAAAGAAAGCTTGGCATCCAGAAGAAGACACACCAGAGATTACAAGTCACCTGAAAATGACTAGTCCTGACAGAAAGTCAATGTTAAATCAATCTCGATGCCACAAGATTTCCAATTTCAGCTCGGCAAAATTTTCAAATGGAACACGAAGGAATTTTCCAAATCCAAAGAATCCTACGATCAAGACAGACACAGTCTCAATTCCCCTTTTCAACTGTGACTGGTTATTATTATCATCATTTTTTGCTGTAAAGATGCTTATTCCCAAATGTAAGGTGAATAAAATTAGATTCATCCATGAATGTAAACACAAACACGCAAAAATGTATTTTTCTTATCCTTATCATTCATGGCAATCCCTTTTCATCGTAGTTTTAAAAAAAAAATTTCATTTACTTTTGTTTTTACCAGCCCACAATATGGGTAATGAAGAAGACCAGAGGAAGGATGCCGAAAATTAAATTTTGATGAGATCAAAATTTCGCAACGCTATAATGTTTTGATAATGCCCATAGCACACAGACAATGCAACGCACTGATGAAATACATATGATTTGGTCGGGAAAGACTAAAGAACAAATCATTGTCAATTGCATCTTTTCAGAAAATTTCAACAAACACGGTAAAGATCTAAAAAAATACATTTCTAATCCTGTATATTCAAGGTTTAAATATGAATATCTACAAGCAGTCGGTAATTTTGATATTTTCGTTATTACAATTGAATTCCTAGTTATACAGGTTATGAACTTTTCCTGAAGCACGTACAAGTTTGTCCAAAACGAGATTTTACTGTGCATTACTTGCAGAAATCTACAGTACTATATACGTACTTCGGAAGTACAGTACATCAAGCGAGTGCATGATGTGAAAAAAAAACTCGGCCAAATGCCGAATCGAATGGGACAGAACGTGGCTCGAAAACAGAAATGACACAGGTGTCAAAAAAAAAGGACATCCTCAACCCAGGCGCCGGATATTGAACTTTTGACAGATGTCCGTATTGGTTGAATTGTTGTTGAAAGAGGGAATCCTACGAGCCTCGATCGATCCTGCATACCCTATAAAGTACAAATCCGGTCACATGGCCCCTCGGAAACGTGTATTCTGGGAGGAGGGAATTGCAGCAGGAACGTGACTCCTACCTGTCTATAGCTAGGTTTGATTTTGATGTGACTACATGACAGAAAGTCAAGCACCTATACACAGTGCACTGGACGATATATACAGTACACGTGACGCATACCTTTTTGCCCTTCAATTAAATTCAATTACTGGCACACGCATGCCTTGGAAAGAGATGACATGACTGACTTTACGAGTGATTGATTGTCAATTAATGATGACGGCGAGCAACGGGAATATAATGTGAATGTCAGGAGGAGAGGGATTTTCCCACCTTGAGGAACTCAAAGTCCGACGGCTTGGACGTGATTCGCTCCGACGAGCCCAGGTCGAGACGGTCAGCCGAGGACGGACTGTCTGTCGACGACTCCGACGACGACGGCTCGTTGACGGACCCGTTGCTCGAACAGCCCTCGTCGTTGGACGAAGTCGACTCGCACACGGGCTTGTCCATGTTGAAAAAGTCCCGCACTTCCTTCATCCGCATCGCGTCTTCAATGCTGATCACTTTCTGATCATCATCATGTTGGTTTCACGCGATATAAAAATAAAAAAGAGGGAAAAGAGAGAGAGACAAAAAAAACAATTATCAACACATGATTGAATGAGAGCACTATAATGAAATCACGAGGGGCTTGATAGCCAATGACAAGTCTCTACGAAACTGCAGACAATGCCTGCCACGTAGCACTCGGGCCCTTTACGTTTTTCTGGCCCTCGCTCGAAGGGGAAAGAAAAATAAAAGTCTGAAAGAATACAGCTGCATATAACGCGCCTCCCAGTAACTGCATAGTGAAAGCTTCCAAATGCACGACTGTAGGGCTGAAACTCAGCTTCTTCCTGATCAGAGTGGACCAAGAAACGAGTGTGCTACTTAATCAAAATAGCATAATCCCCTTTTTTTTAAATTATCTTCCCAGCATTTTCCTAGCGAATTTATAGGCTGTCAACTATACCGCTCAAAAGGTATCACCAGGATGACGAAAGCATATTCAATAAAGGGCTTCAGAAAAATGGAAATATTTGTTCTGGAAATGGAGTCTTCGAATTGTCACGGTTCTGTTCCCAATTAAGCTCTCATCGGAATGTCTGAATCGCACAAATGTGTTTATGATGGAGACGCCATGCGTGGCTGCGTTACCCATCCGAGTACGTACTATAGGAACGGGCAAATGAAGTTCATTTTACATCACGACACGAAATAATTAAAAATAAGTCAAGTATCATTAGCACTTTTCAGCTCTCGAAGCAAAGCAGGCACTGCTGGATTCCAAGACTCGCTCCAATTAATTCGGATCATCATTTCGCCAGCGCAAGAACAATGAAAAAAAAATGAAAAAAAAGGAAAATCAGAACACGCCACATTAAACGAGTCCGATTCATTCGTGGCGCGATCCCTCTCGGCACGATGAACAAGAGAATCCGAGACCATATCAAATGTCGGGCCACAGCACATTCACAATAACATGACGAAGCGACTCGCACTTGTTTTCCATGTCGATGTCGACCACGATGCAAGTCCTTCGACAGATTGCATGCACGTCAATGCCACGACGTCATGCGCGCATCGGCAGAAAAAGGAAAAACGCCAAGGAATGATACAGCTAAGCAAAGCGCATTTCCCTGTCTTTCACCTACTCGATCAACGAGACAGCCTGCAGAGCTTTCTTTCCCCGATCATTTTGAGGAAAATATACACAAGTAAATGGATTCATTCCCCTGCCGACGCTTCGAATTCTCAATCAAGCATCTTTCAGTTTACAAAAAAATGCATCAGCCTCTTTCTCGCGTCAATAAGTCAAGTAAAGTAAAATACAGTGAAGTGCAGTACAAGTATTGTATATACCGGTACACTAACTATACAACAGAGTTGTTCACAAAACCCGCGATCCGTGGACCGGCGCCGGTTCTCCGACTTTTTTTTTTTTTGCCGGTTCACGGAAAATTTTCTTCAATATACAATACTATAGTACGGAACTTATAATTGACTTAAAGTAGCAATGAAGGACGTTAAATCTTTATCTGAAATTTTGGAAAGACAATAACGGTAGTTAAAATCATCTTTAAAAAAAAAAGGGTTGGCTTGTCTCCTGATGCCAAGCACTTCAGACCAATTTTACATACTAAGAAACCTTTCTAATTCCCGAAGACATCCCTCTATAGCTGCTGCACTGGTTCTTAACTTAATTTTTGGATTTTTTGCAACAACGAAAAGAAAAGGAAAACAAACTTTTTCAACACCAGCCATAAAGTCTTCACAGCAAAAGTTTCTCGAGTTCGTAACGATTTTATGAAAATTTGCTAGTCCAAACGAAACTTTTTGGAACTTTGCCTGTTCGCGAAAAGTTATATGGAAATTTTCCGGTCCGCGCCGGGGATACAGTGCAGTATACGATACTTGTATACGTGTTGATTGAGACAGAATACCATCATCACGCAAATCCGACGCGTTTTTTTTTTTTTTTCCAAGTGAAAAGCACTGCGGCAAGCGCCGTGCTTGATTCAATTCAAAAAATGAATTTCCCGCATAACTCGAGGGACGGAGTTACCATGCCGACGGCAATGACTCGCAGAAATATACCTGGTCGAATCACAATGCCTTACGATCTAAAAGCAGACGACTCCTGCTCTCAAAAGAATTTTGAAAATCCGGCAAATGCGAGGCCTGGTATTTCCGAATGAATTTACGATAGAAGTCTGGATGCCGCCAGCAGCAGCAATGGTTGGCAACTACCGCATATATACAGTACATGGAATAATCTCTTCGGCTGTGTGCAGGAAATTCGCGTGGAAGTGCTTCATCACGCAGCGTGAGATTTCGCGGGAGCAGCGGTGGTGTTCGAAGGCACGATGCAGTGCAGTACTGTACAGAGTACAGTAGTAGACGACTACAGCACTTGAAGAACCAGCAGATGGACTTGAGGAAGGGGGGGGAGGCATTACAGTACTGTACTCGTGGTTCACGAGTCACGTGGAAACGAAAATGATGAAATCACACCAATGGAAAAGCTGAGTGCACGTCAGTTAATTGTGGAGAAACAGAAGCAGAATACTGTACAGTAATCACGAAACCCATCCCCATCGCTGGGAGCAGCTTTGACCTTGATATCCTGAACGAAAGAAAGTCTTGGTTGTACTGTTCTGTACAATATGATTCTTTCCCGACCGAGTGATGATGGATAACCCATATACGGGAGGCAAGTTTCGAACAAAGTTGAATGCTTATTATCACATGATTTTCGGAAAGATTCGCCAAACCCTGCTTCCCAATGTTGCAATTCCGTCACACGTACTGCCGTACTACTACTACTACACGCTGTACAGTGGGACCCAGACGCACAGGCGATTTGAATCGGGCCAACTTGAAACTAGGAAAAATCTGCCCCTAAACCTGGACAGCAATTTATCGAGATACAAGTTTTCAACATTTCGAGAAAAGTGGTCGTTTTCCTATACCTTGAAAACATTCAAGTACAGTGAGGCCATTTAAGGTATATTAAAAAAAATTGAAGATGATTTTCATTATGATCACGATATTCTTAATTCCTTTTCCCGGGATATGTTTTCCAAGAAATTTTCCTCGCATCACGTGAGCACAGTACAGTACGGTATAGCTATGTGTAAACTTGTCCTCATGTTCTTTGTTTCCTTCTGAGCTCATGCTTCTTGTGCCAAAAGATCAGCTAGCTTGCGCTTTTCTTTCTGCACACTATTCTCAGTATGTTGAAGTTGAGACACAATTTTTTTCTCAATTTTGCGGTGAGTTCACTCATAATTTTTCGAGGAACGAACAGGAGAACCACTGCTGGAACATATATGGTTCCAGCACTCAAGTCTATACTGCACACGGGAAAGCATGACCCAAACGCAGGTATATACACTCCAGCATCTCTCGCGGGGACAAGGTCCAAGCACCACTTTTGTCTGGATCTTTCTTTGGACCCCACTGTACAGTACTCGCATAGCAGAAACTACTGTACTGTATGTAGATGATGCGCAGTGCGAATTGAACGAACTCCTGGTCCATACTCTTCCCACATCAATGTACCGCATTGTACTCGTATGAGGAAGGCATTCAAAAGGAACCACGTTCAATGCGCCTATATACGATTCCTATTCGGAGACGCGAACCACTGCTGGTTGGTATGCACTACAGTAAAGTACAGTAGAGTACAGTACTCATAAGAGGCGAATGTTTCTCCGTCATCTTCGGCGGTCACGTGAAGAAGACCATCACAGCACATGCAGCAGATGCAAATCTCCCTCACGTGCATAGTGGACTTGATGCACCACATATGTTTCCCCATATTCCCATGCCCCACAGCCAAGATCGCAGCACTCGTCGTCTAATGATGCAGAGCATGAAACGCATTTAACCCCAAACATCAAGAAGCTAAACGATCAATAAGCCCGGCATTCCTCGAGTAAGGAAGCACTGCGATTGAATAAGGTGATGCTGGAATGCTTAGTATAGGCTATTGATAAAGGGAAGACCTGTTTTGTGCATAAATTAACTCGGAGTCGCTTCCAAAATTTAGTAGCGGTTTACTCGGGACGATCCTGACTCATAGATCATCCAATCTCTGCTGCTGCTGGCAATATTGGGAAACATTCATTTGCAGCCCCATTCAGTACGGTACAGTACAGTACGTATATAGAGCAGTACAGAATATTTCATTATTGCTTCAACCCGTTCTCGAGATACACTAATGCATATAAAACTTTTATCGTAGTTAGTTTATAGCTAGCCGACACTGAAGTGAGTCGCGTGATGATGCGGGATCTGGTATCCTTTTCTTTGGGGGGGGGGGGGGGGGGGGGGTG